TAGCTGTGATGGTCCAGAAATTATGTGAGAGGCAGGGATTTCTTAGGGTGGTATCTTTTATTGGACCAACTATGTAATTGGCATAAAGTTGGAGAAGCTTTTGATTATTTCTCAGGTCACCTTGCAACTCTATGCAACTTCATAGTTGGCCCAATAGGAGAGATCACCCTAAGAAATCCTTGCGTCTTATCTGACAGGGAAATATATGAAATGTTCAGCTGCTGCGATGCTAAAGATTTCCATCTTTTCTTTGCACATCAAATTAGCTTGTCCAAAACTTAGTCAAGTGCTTTTTCATTTAAAACACTATCTTAGGTTTTTGGTTTTTCTTTTTTTAAACTATGTTTTGACAAAATAACTTTGCTCTGTATCTGTTTAGGCAATAAACCCCATGGATTGCTTTTTTTTTTTTCTCTTGGGTGAAAGTTTTCAGGTAGGATGAAAAGTATGAGTGCCTTGCAACCTGTTTGTTTGTTTTGGTGTAGGAAGCTCTTTTGAAGTGATATGTTGCTGGGAAATCTCATATTTTCAAGGAGGGGACATAGTGGGGAAACTTTTATTTTAACTGTGAAACTTCTGAAGAACAAAAGCAAAGACAGTTGAGTGACTGATGTTTTAAATGTCATTTCAAGTATGGTTGATGCTTTTGCTAAATGCGTAATAGAAATTCTGTGGTGGTCATTCATTCATAACTCATGTAATAACATGATGCAGCACCTTGAACAGGCCCTTAAGGAGCCTGTTCCTTAGTTTTTCTGCCTTGTAGAGTTAATTAATGGTTATGTTTCTCAAAGTACTCTTCCACGTCCTGCTTAGGTTTGCTGTGTCACTAGCTTCTGTAAAACCATAGTGACACTGCTCTTTATTTTGGTTTCTTCTGTGGATGCAAATGGTCCTCTTGAGAGACATGGTTTAAAAACTGTAGATAATGAATGAATGATGTGAGCTGTAAGTGCTGTGCCTGTTTCAGGCTTGTGTCTATTATGCTACAAGATCTGTTGTAAATAAATGCCATCCATATCCATCAGGTGTGCTAGATCCTTCCAAAATGCTGTTTGATATGTGATAACTGTCAGATGGCATATTTTTCTTACTAAAAAAAAAATGTTTTTTATCCACAGTAGAAGTACTTTTCCTATCCTCTACTGCAACTATATTTTTCATATTAGGGCTCTCCTGCGTAATAGTATCTCAGCATTGATGTTTAGAGATAAAATTGGATGATCATTAGGTTCCTGTTAATATTATCCACTGCAGGCAAGTAGACCATTTTAAGGAAGGTATAAGACTCTAAATATGTCGTACTCTGGGCTTTATTCAGCGTGTCTAAGTCTGGCTACCCTTGCCTTGTTTTTCCTCTCAGGATTTCTATTTTTCTTCATCCTTCCCGTAGCCTCTGAAATAGTTAGCAGTTTTGCATTCAGTCTCTGTTTTAAATTGTATAGTCACCTGGATGCTTCATAACACACTTTATTTTGCTCTTTAATGCTGTATGAGTATCAGTGGCATGATTCATTAGACTGCGATGTACACCCTCCTGTGGGCAAGTAGCTATACACACAATAGACCTTCTACAAAGTAGATGAGATGCCTTTCTCTGATTATGGTGTTGAGTTCTGTTGAAGATGCACTCTTTTGCATGCTCCAAACTTAATGTTGCAAAAAGTGCATCAAGTATCCCTTGGAATGGGTTCATAGGGCTGGTAGGGATCTTACAAGGTCATCATCTAGTCCAGCCCCCTGCTAGAAGCAGGATCATTCCCGATTAAACTATCACAGCCAAATGTCTGTCTAAAATGTTCATGAAAATTTCCAGGGATGGATATTTCTATAGCTTCTCTAGGAGGAACTTTCTGATTATGAGGGTGGTCAGTAAAGCATTGGAACAAGCTACCTAATCTCCAGTCTAAAATTTCTCTGCTGCACTTTGAGGCTATTGCTCCCAGTCCTGTTCCCCATTGCCACAGAAAAGCCTATTTCCATCCCTTCTGTAATTGCCCTTCAGGTGTTTAAATACTGTTTGTCATCAAATCTCCCCTTCAGTCTTCTCTTTTCCAGGCTAGGTCCAGTTCTTTCACTCTTTCCTCTAACTCCTGTTTCTCAGATCTTTAGTCATTTTTTTTTTATTGCTGTGCTGAACTCATTTCAAACTGTCCACATCCTTCTTGAAGCATGGAGTCTAAAACTGGACACTGTACTCCATGTGCAGCCTCCCAAGTGTTGAATACAGTAGAAGACCCACTTCCCTTGGTTTGCAAGTGACACTCCTGTTAATACAGCCCAGTATGTTGTTGACATTTTTCTTTCTTGCAGCAAGAGCACACTGTCAGCTCATATTCAGTTTGTGGTCTACTGCGGGAATGTTCTACCCCCTCCTGTGGGCCAGATCTGGCCTGTGGCACCAGGTAACATGTCACCCTGCATACAGGGCTCCCCACAGGTCTGGAAATTTGATGACAGGGGAG